TATAAAACACGATGAAAACTGGCAAGCACAAAGAAATGCATGAGAGGAATTGCAAGATAAATCAGAATTCCAATTCTCAACTCAACAATAAAACTAGATAATAAACTGGTAAAAGAGAAAGAACCAACAAAGGTACTTTACTGAAACTGATCAAGTGAAAAATAAAATGAAATAAATTAAGAGAAAGGTTATCAAAACTCAAAAGACGTGCAGTTCAACATAGCAATCACCTGACTAATTTAGAATTCATATCCTTGCATCGTTTCAACTCTTTGACAGCATCAGTTTCCTGCCATTCGGGGAAATTATCACCACAAATAAAAGATCCAAATTTTTAGATACTTACTTAAATAAAAAAAGGTGGTGCTACCTGGTTCCCATTCAATGGTGGGATCTGATGGTGAGCATAGCATTTGTCAGCTTTGGGTGATTCCATTAACTTCATCTAAACAGGACAATAGGATAAGAATTTAAATCACAGATGAGCTGTATTGAAATGATACTAAAATCAACCGTACCTTATTGCGCAACTTTGATATTTCAGCAAGCAATGCTTCTCTTTCACCTTCTACGTAGTAATCTTGAAACCTGAAACAATTGGAAAGAGAAAAAAAAGATGTAAAAGGTACAGCTAGATCCAATCAGAAGCATTAGAAATGTATGCTGGGTACTACTGTTTGATTTGCTCGAGCAGTCTTATATTCTCCGATGCTAAGCGATGGACTTCTGGATTCCTATTAATTTTCTCTTGAAGTAGCTGATTTTCCTCTCTCAAAGCATTATTTTCATCCAGGTAAAATTTGTCAGCTGATATTAAGCCATCCAAGAGTGACTCTAGGCGTTTTATCTTTTCCTCGCGGAATTCGAGCGTCATTTTACACTGATGAATTTCTTCTTCTTGTTGGTGAGCCTGCAATAGATTCCAGAAATCATTTATCTAGAATCCCCACGGTGTGAAGGAGATCAAAAGCGACGAACCTTTAGACTTACCAAGCAATTTAAATGCGCAATATCAGCTTGTAGTCTTCTGACTTCTGTCTCAGCCAGTTTCTCTCGTTGTTGAGTACCATGCAAGGTGGTGCCCAAGTAGTGCATCTGCCATAACAGTTTAACCAAATTTATGCATTCCTCTAAATGAATGTAAGAGAAAGGACAATTCGATTTAGAAAGTACCTTCATATCTACTTCCTTGGGAATCTTATGCCCATCAAGCATATTAATTCCATCAAATGGATCATGACTCTCAGAAATATGGCCGAAGGGGGTTTTTTCATTTTTTGGAATAAAATCTGTAATATCCTCAGAATTCTGCTGGTGCTTCATCAAGAATGACAACTGATCCTGTTCCGATAATATTAAAAAATGACAAGCCCAGGTGTCCAAAACTACACTAGTATTGTCATTTAGCAGCTTTTACCTTTAATTGTTGGATCTGCTGCTGCAATGCAATTACACCTCCAGAAGCATCTTCATTTATTTTAGCCTGGAAAGACAAGTTAAAATGAAGGACAGCACAGTTTATATGTTTTATTCTAGAGAGAGAGAGAAAGAGAGAAACTTGGATAAAAATTATACGTTATTCTGGATAAGCTTCGCACGCTGTGCAAACTTCAAAGTGCTTAATGTCTCATTTGCAGAGCTGCAAAGAAGTAAAAAAGTCAAATTCAATTTTTTCCTTTACAGAATAATCACTTGTATTATTGTTTCAATATCATCCTTGCATTACCAAACAGATGGGCTGACATTTGCAATAATGGTTGTTTTGGAATTTCCACCAAGAGAATCCTGTATTCGAAAGGTAAGTGTAACTACAAAACTCCATATACAAGCTCACTGATAAAAATTGTTGAACTTCACTTAATAGTTGAGCTTCGTTTTTGGCCAGAACTCATTTATCTCACCTGAAGAAGAAATGTTAGCCTAGAGTCTCTGTAAGGTACGTGTCGATGTTTCCCATGTGCCAAATCAACTAGAGACATTATAACCAATCTGAAAATACAGTAACAGAAAATTAGTATCCATTGAAATGGAAAATGAAGAGCAAACACATCTATTAACATAATGTCTTCGAGATGTAAAGAAAACAATTAGATGTGATTTCATTTATGTTATAAAGAGTTGGTGAACTAATAGACATCCACAAACTGTAAAGAATAATGTAGTGATGTGAATCTCTCGTTGTCAATTCTGTCACAAAGTGCTTACCAACAAGCACGGGGTGTATTTTGTGAAATGTATGATTATATAATGTGTAACAAAGATTTTGTTCCACCATAATCTTAAAGAAATAACTATTCAGCATCAAGCAAGAACTACACCCTCATGTCACCACTAGCTTTGTTGATTTGATCGGGCAGATTCATGGAATCAATTCAATTTATTAAGGTGTTTCATTCACACTGTTTCTTCTGAGTTGTCTGAGGATTTCGAGGAATTCAGAAAGGAGCAATATGTTTTGTGTACTTTTTTCGGTCTTCCAATAGACGATGGGTTTCTTTAATCTTTTTAGGTTGATGCTCTACTCCGGGGCAAGGTGCCGCCCCTAGCTCCTAGCTCGACTGTCTTCTTTCTATTAGATGTTAGAAGCTTGAACATGCACAATATTAGCAGTTTCTCATGTCCTGTGAGAACTTTTCGACTATACTCAAAGACAAATAGAGTAAATTAACCTTAATTGTTTTATCTGAAGTTCTGAACATAACACATGGAACATTACCTCAGAAAGGACATGATGTATAGATAATGAATGATGCTACTGTGAATCAAACAAAATAGACAATAAAAATGAGAACTTATGGGACAAATAACTATTACCCAAGGGTTGACAGCGATTTGTTAATATTAGCAGCCTCTTTCAAGCGATCTCCTTCGGCCCCTGAGCTCTTCTGCCTAATCAAGCTGAGATGTTACTCTCAATTTCATCTACTGAACTTGATCTTAATATTCATAAGAGTAGCTGTTACCTCTCAGAACCAGCCAAGTCTACTAAATTCAATCTCCCAAACCTAAGGTGGGCCATAGAATCTTTCTCCCAACGGCTTTCAACAATGCAGGTGAAGACACTATGGGATCGGCTGCTCTCGCTGTTCATATGAGTTGCAGCTATCTTCCTATTTGCAGCTCCCTACACAATGATATTGTCATGCTAAGCAAGTTCCAAAGTATTGAAAGGAACATCCTAATTCAAAGATACTAAACTTAATGAATCACCTGCTGCAAAAGCTGGAGAACATCATTAACTGTTCTGACATTGTACTCAGTAAGGTTCTCAACATATACCCCTTTCTTTGAGTCTTCTCTAATCTGAGCATATCAAGAGGATAAAGAAAATCATTCTTATGAAAAGAAAAGAAGGAAAAAAGAAAAAAAAAAAAAAAATGATGTGACCCTCTAGAGTCAATCCCGAATACCTGAAGGTTAATTGAGGAAGGCTCAAGAAGGTCCGTAATCTGCTCATTGTATATCTCTAGGAAGGAACATTTGCAGCTATATGCCAATCTCTCATGCTTCCCACTCTCTTCTTCCTTCAACATAGTTACAACATTCGATCTTTAACGTTAAGGCAGGCAATTTATGATCCATGGACCAAATAAAAAACTCTCAAGGCATACCTCTTTGATCCTTCTGAATAAATACTCGAAAATGCGTGGTGTGATGCCACAATCATCATCGAGCTTTCCATCCATCTTATCAATCTCACCCATCATCGTGTATGTCTTTCCGCTACCTGTCTGCACAACAAGAATCGTACAGTTTCTAATGTTTCATACGACCATGTAAGTGTGTTACAACTGCTAACCTCCTTCAACAACACCTACCTGCCCATAAGCAAACATGCAGCTGTTGTACCCGGACATGCAATTATCCACCATGGGCAATCCAGCAGCCCTGAAAAGCTTTTCCTACACAGATATCAAGATATGGAAAGTCAATAACCAAATAACACGAGAGCAACAGCCTGAGAGAACCAGTAAACATGAATATCTATGGTCTAGGGCTACAAGTCCAAGCATACGCCAATGATTCAAATTAGATAACATATATGTTTCCCGTTTATTGTTAATTTTTACATACCAAATCTGCTAAAAAAAACACATTTCTGAATGAGGACCAATCATCATCACCAAAGTACTTAACAAATATGCACCTGCGATATAGTTTCACAAGCTATATGATCAAAAGTGAATCTGGTTTCCGGGTGGCCCTGCCAAACTACTGTATGTGCACTCTCTTGCCTCAGGCATCTCCCGTATCCTTGGGATGTCAACTCAGTACTGTTCAATGGTCTTATCCGAATCAATACCTTCAAAGGGGAAAAAAAAAATATATGAATAACTATACCCATCATTCATGAATCATGAGGTTCACAACTCCTACAAATGAACATGAACCTTAATTATTGAAATTACTCAAAAAATTTGATATACTAGGCAAAAAAAAAACCTGCACATTGTGGTCTTTCCAAAAGGAGGGATCGTCTTCAAGTTCAAAACTTGGAACATCAGCTGATAATAGTTCCGGAACCGAGGTAGAAATCCCCCGGGGAACCCTCGGTAAAGCGCCTCCCCTTCCTCCGCCACTACCCAACTGAAATGGAAACCTTGTGAAAGCATACCCAGATCCAGCGCCAGCAATGGAAAACCTTGGCCCGCTTCTAATCGCCGTGCTCTGAGCCGAATTGGGTTCTGAATTAGCCGGTTTATTTCTACCATGAAGCCTGGGAGTCTTCACAAGTGTAGAGACAACCTGAGCTTCCATATCCCCGTCCGGTTTTCTTCCAGCAGAAGCTTTAGACGACTCCAGTTTTTCCGGCACCTGATTTTTCGACTGACATTGAGACGGATCGGCAATGGAAATGAGCGGAGCTCGCGATGGCACCAATGGAGCCTGATTGCACGAACTCTCGAATTCATTCTCGCTCGGTACCTTGCACTGGCTCGCCCGAGCTAAAGAACCCTCTCTGGACATAATTCGAGCTTTGATGAGCGGAAGAGCAAACAATGGAGGTGGAATGTGACGGAGTCTCGAGAGTCAACGTGAAAGCATGCGAAGGGGAGCTCAGATCAAGTCAACGGCCATGGCGATTATCAACTGTGGAGTTACAGCTGAATGGACTGACAATGGTTTTGAGATATGGGGAAAGGGAAGAAAGATGGGGAAGAAAAAGGTTGGCTTGGAGCTTGAAAAGGCTGGTAAAATTAAACCCCACTTAGAAAACAAAAAATAAAAAAAAAAATGATTAAAGAAAAAAGAAGCCCGCTTCAAATTCAAATTTCAAGTAGGTAGGTTTTCGAAATAAAAATATAAAGTCTATTAATATATAATAAGGATAAGGATTAACATAATTCATTTTTAGAAATACTTTCCCGCCAATTTCATTAATTATTGTCTAAGAATAGTAAATTAACAAAATATCTATTTATTAGCATACCTTTTTTATCCAATTTTTTTTTAGGAATACAATCAAAAATATGGAATCAAAATCAAAATAAATCTAAGAAATACACTTACCATACTTAATACACTTAATTTAAGAGATACACTTACCATATATATTTTTAAAAATATTTAAAATACAATATAAAACATTTAATTATTAATTGTCAATTAGAGATTCTTTTTAAGAATCAATCGTATTTCTAATTTGTTAGAAATAATTTATATATATATATATTAGTATTTACGTGAAAGTAACATATATATTACTTATATATTAACATATATATTAATTCATATATAATAAGGATTAACATAAATCAAATTTAGAAATAATTTCCCGCCACTTTCATTAATTATCTCCTAAAAATAGTAAATCAGATTTTTTTCGTTTTTTTTATTAATAACATCAAATCCTCCCTATATATAATTCCTGAATGCGCTGAGCCTACGTGGCTGCTTCTGGTGTTTCGGAATCCTATTTGGCGAAGAATCATGCTTCGTAATTAGGTTTGGATAAATAATATTGATATATCAATAATTAATAATCTAGGTTCGGGTATTCCATAAATATTATTTACCTAACTTAGGTATTTTAATATCACTTTTACTAATATAACCCTTTAATTCTTTGTAATTTTACATAGTGAGACACTAAGTGATTAATATATTCCTGAATTTTGATTTGTTTCCTTCAATAAGCTATTGAATTATAAATGTATTTTAAAAGTTGATAACTTTTGTATTTCTTATCGGTTTTACATATATAATATATCAAATTAATCATCTTTTGATGATCTTCGATTTGACATCCATATTGTATATATGAAATAAATAAATTATATTTATCTTTATAATAATAAAAAATAATAATATTTATTAAAATTCATTAGAAAAATAAAATTATTTCTCAATTGATATATTTATATGTAATGTAGTTATATATTGTAAGTTGAAAAAAAATTAGTATAATATAACACAAGTAAGTTGCACAAATAAAAAGTGTCATAATAAATATATAATAATATATATTCTTATAAAAAATATTTAAATTTTCAAACTATTTTTTCTCATTAATTTTAGATTTTAAGAAAAACAATTAGCAAGCACCCGTGTAATACACGGGTGTTGTACTAGTTGCTTTTATGGTTCATCTTAGTTTTATATAATTATGATTTGACCCCGAGTCTTCTATTTATTCTTTTTCTTTTGTCATCTCCTTCTTTTTTTTTCAGAACAATAGATGGTACTATAAATCAATCAAAACTCACAAATGTGCGGATACACAAATACACAGCAGCCAACTGCTGAAAAGTGGCAGGACAGGTCAGGAGACCGCCTAGAAACCCGTCGCTAGCAAAGCTAGAATGAAAACACACAAAAACCACACAATCAAAAGACTAAAATAAGATCTCACCAAGATAATACCCCAAGTGTCCGATCCTAATGGGATAATAAGGTGAAACTCAGGCTCACATGGGCCAACGACCTAAACCAAAAATACATGCCCTAAACAATACAATCACAGACAAAACTAACAAACAAAAAACCTACGGAAAACGAAAGACAATAATCAAATCGAAGCAAGCCTTTCCTAAGCAGCGAAACCAAGCAGAGCCGGTGGATACCGAGATGACCAAGAGTGAGTCCCACAGCCAAAGAGGACCGACCCGAACTTGCCCAACACCAACTCGGTGGCCTAACGAAGTCATCTCCTTCAATATTTTTAATTTGGGTGTTGCTATTTACCGCACCTCTTATTACTATGTACCGCCTCTTGGACAACTTTACCCCTGACATTTTTTCTTAAAAAAAAATGTCGTCGTCTGGCCGGAAAAATCAGACGTGCACATGCCAACCGCAATCGCTGGTGGGACACGACCGTGCACGTCCGCGATCACCGGACGGACGGCAGAATTTTTTTTATATATATAATCAATTTTTTTATTATATAAATTATAAAAATTATAATTTTAATTTATAATTAGTTTATGTTATAAATTAAAAATATAACAAATAAAAATTGTTGTTATAAATTTGTAACAAATAAAGGTTAATATTTTTTAATTAGTTTTTATAATTTTATCATTTATTTAGTTTTTATAATTTTTATCATCTATTTAGTTTTTAATTTTTATAATTTTTAATTAGTTGTTACAAATAAAAATTTATAATTTTGTTATAATCAATTTTTTATATAATTTTTATAACTATGATTTATATAATAAAAAAAATCATTATAAAAAAAATAAATAAAAAATTGTTGCCCGGCCGCCGATCGCGGACGTGCACAGTCTCGTCCTACCGGCGATTGCACGTCCGGTTTTGTCGGCCAGCCGGGCGGCGACACTTTTTTTTTTTTTTTACTTTTTAGAAAAAATGTCAAGGGCAAAATCCAAGGGGTGGTAAGTAGTAAATATGGGGGCGTTATGTAGCAATTCAGAAGATTTATTCTAACATATTCTTTAAGAGTTTAGTTCATATTCTAATGTTTGTTCGTTTTCTCATATTTGTGTGGCTAGTTTCAATATTGGAGTGATAAGTATGCTTGGATACCAAAAAAAAATGGAAAAAGTATGCTTGGATACAAACTTTTTCAAAAAATTCAAGTTTTTTTAACTAATCACTTTTTAAGTCAAATTTATTTCAATTTAACTAATTCCACTATCCTCAATATTATCAATATAATCAAATAATATCACTCATCCATTTTACACATTCCATCAACTTTAATTCACTCACAATTTTGGGGATGCTTGGATATAAGATTGTTTGATTTTGTCTGGATTTTGGTTAGTGTGGTTAGTTTTGAAAAAGTGGTATAATTAGTTGTTAGTAAGATTTTGAGTTTATATATGATATCCGTGGTAACCATGATAACTTTGGTGTACCTTCTCTTGGTGGGCCCTTCGATTTATTCTCTAAATACATTATTATGTGGCAACTACAAAGAAGTGGAAAAGTCAATAGTATCACCATTCAAGTTTTGTGACTCTCTTTTTCTTCAATTTCTACATGATACTTGTAAAAATTTGTCCCATCTGAACTGAAAATCTGGGCCCTTCGATTTATTCTTTAAATACATTATTATGTGGCAACTACAAAGAAGTGGAAAAGTCAATAGTATCACCATTCAGGTTTTGTGACTCTCTTTTTCTTCAATTTCTACATGATACTTGTAAAAATTTGTCCCATCTGAACTGAAAATCCAGATATTTCTTGAGGCTTATATTTTTGTGCTACATCATTCTTTTTCTATTATTGAGAATGATATGATAAGTGGAAGCTACAATTTGTATATGGGAATAATTTGAAATGCTACTTCTAAGTTTTAGCCTTGTTGCAGACCAACTTAGGGTGATTGTATATAAATTTGATTTGATTTTGATTGGTTTTTTTTTTGGTTAACAATAGTTAGTTTTGAAGTATGTTGTATTTGGGATTTTGATTTTTGAGTTTATATTGAATTAATATTTAAAAAAAAAAATAATTAAAGTTGATTTAATGTGAAAGTAGGAAATGGATGATGTGAAGAGATTGTTAATTAAAATTATGTGAATTGATGACTAGTGAATTAAAGTTGATGTGATTTGTACGAATGATTTGATCGGTACTCATCTCTTAAAAAACGACGCCATACTCTCCGCGGTAATCTCTTCAACAAAATAGGTGCGAAAAACGTTTTAATTGTTTTGCTTCTCTGATCTTTCTGTTCGATTCTATGTGTTGTGCTTAGGGTTTTTATGTTTAAAATGAATTCACCTATTTCTATTTTTTGTTGTCGCGATAGAGATGCGGGGGGTTATTGATGCTAGATTCCGTTTGAAAACCTTAATGCAACTTCTTTTTAATTTGTTCTTAAGTTAAATTATGTGTTTTCGATTTCAATGGAACCCTAATTGAGGCTCAAACTGTACAATCTTTCGTTAGTGTTTCATTTTTTCTGGTTTTGGTACTTGAGTTCTTCCCTGTTTCTCATTTAGGTGATTACTCCACTTGATTGATGATAAAGAAAGATGAGTCTGACATTCTATGGTTTATTTACATTAGATGCTTTTCTACGAAAGCAATTTGTCTTTACCATAGTGTTGTAAAAGAAAAAGTAAAAAACACATCTACTAAAACAAGCGCTTTTTCTTTAGCTTATACGAATTCTGTAGATTCATTTGAATTTATTGGTTTCTGTTGTGGCTAGGGGTGTGCATAATTCGACTAAAACCAATCGAATCGACATAATCTACAATTTCAGTTCGGTTTTTATCCAACTCAAATGGTTTTCGGGTTTCCGCATTTAGTTGTTCGGTTATTTCGATCGGTTTTCAAACTTCAAATCTTCGAAATAACCTAATATATATTATATTTAACCCTAATCCTAAAGAAACTTACAGAATACACAACCGATACATTTCCTCAAATCCTCCCTCCTCCTCGGCTCTTCGACTCTTCCCCAAAATATCAATCCGCCCGTACCCGTCATCCTCTCCCTCGTCTCATACCCAAATCCTCAGCCGCCGCCGCTTCTCCTCCGCCCTAAATCGCCCCAAACCAAGTCATTTCCCAAATATCCTCTCCGGTTCAAGTAGCTGCGTGCGTCTGCGACTCAAAGCTCCTTGTCGTCGGTCAAGACTCGAGAACTCCTTTTCGCCGGTCGTCGATTCGTCTATTTCGGTAAGTTCAAGAGGAATCTTCATTTATGGTTTCATGGACTTTCATCTTCGGTTGTTCTTATTTGCTTTTAGTGCTAGTTTTACTCATTAATTAGGTAGATTCAATCACTTTTTTTACTTTTTTTTTTTGCCAGACTTGTATTGTTGTGGTCCTTGTGGTTGTGGATCAGTAATTGTTCTTGAATTGCCTTGAGGTTGACTAATTTGAAGAAAACTATGCTGATGATTTTATATTAATTTTGCATATGTTATGCAAATTTTTCTTTATCAAATTTTATAATGTAATTATTTATGAAGGTTAAACTGGAAATTTTTTATAATGTAAATTTTTATGCAGATATAAGAAATTTTTAGTATGTATTTTTGTTGTATGGACAATTGTGTTTGGGCCCAATGAAAAGACTCATTTGTTTGGGCCCAGTAAACAATCCTAACAAAATTATTTTTTTGTAAAATTTCGGTTAACCGACCAAACCGACCGTTCGGTACTTCATTATTTCGGTTAATTCGGTTTTTGTAGTTCGGTTTGGTCTGTCGACCGAACCGACCAATGGATACACATAGTTGTGGCTATTTTCTCGTTTTGCTGATGTTTTTTAAAGCACAAATCCATGTAGCTTGTTGTCAACAGTAAGTTATTAAGCTTCTGTGTTGTTCTAATCCTCATAAAGATCATAACACATTATCTCTTTTTGGGATAATTTGTTGATTTTTTTTTTTTTTGTGCTGAATTTTGTCTTTTTTTCCCCGGATCTGTTGCTGTATTTTGTAACATTTTTGAGTTTTT